GGCCCAGTGGTTAAGAATCCACCTTCCAATGCAGGGAACATGGGTTCGATTCCTGGTCGGGGAACTAAGATCCCACATGCTGTGGGGCAACTAAGCCCGTGTGCTCTAGAGCCTGCGTGCCACAACTGGAGAGCCCATGCGCCACAATTAGAGAGCCCGTGCACTGCAACTACTGAGCGGGTGCACTCTGCAGCCTACATGCCAAAACTAGAGAGAAGCCTGCACACAGCGAAGAGCCTGCGTGCCGCAACGAAAGATCCTGCATGCTGCAACTAAGACCCAACACGGCCAAATAAAAAAATAAAAAGAACCCCCCCATATCGTTCTTTAAAAAAAAAAAAAGTGAGTCTGGAGGATTTCCCTGGTGGCACAGTGGTTAAGAATCCGCCTGCGGGCTTCCCTGGTGGTGCAGTGGTTAAGAATCCGCCTGCCAATGCAGGGGACACAAGTTCGAGCCCTGGTCCAGGAAGATCCCACATGGCACGGAGCAACTAAGCCCATGCACCACAACTACTAAGCCTGTGCTCTAGAGTCCGCAAGCCACAACTACTGAGCCCGCATGTCACAACTACTGAAGCCCGTACACCTAGAGCCCATGCTCCGCAATGAGAAGCCCGCACACTGCAACGCAGAGTAGCCTCCCACTCGCCGCAACTAGAGAAAGCCCGCATGCAGCAACAAAGACCCAACGCAGCCAAAAATAAATAAATAAATAAATAAAAAGGAAAAACAAAGTGAGTCTGTATGATTGTACGTAGAGAATTGCAGTGATTAAGTCTCATAAGGCCTGCCCGTTTTGTATATCAGGGGTCATCCTCCACTGTCATCAGGCAGAATCTAGTCCACAGACATACATTTTTCCTCCTGTAAAAGGTTTTTAAATAATTTAACTAGTTGCCAACAGTTTAAAACACAATGATCTGAATTCCCAGTTTCTCTTGAAAAATAGGAAGAATGGTCATACTGTGCCCACATTCCAGTACACTACAGTCACTAGTACATCCTAATACATTCCCTCCTGGCTCACTTCCCTCATTTACATTACCTGCCTGATACTCAGGCATTTGAGCTTGTAATCCCTGCTTTATTTACATGATGGCAACAAATCATTACTTCCATGATCACATCCACTGCAACTGGGGCCCCAAATCACCACAGTGCCCTACTACATTTTCATTTAATTTAAACAACTGCTGTGGAACACACTGAAATACAGAAAAAGAGGAACAATAAAAACTGAACACCTGCCAATTACATTTACAAAGCTCTTCCAGCCAGAGATAAAATGAACCTCCCTTTCTCCCTTCAACTCAACCCCACAATTACCCCAACAGCAGAATCACTCTAATTAGTCACCTTGAACCACAGGGACAGACTGTGATCAATCAACCGAAGTGGTATAAAAAGACTAGGCTGATCCTTCCAGTGAGTACTGTATAAATACAATGGGTCTCCTCAAAAGCAGGAGCTGTGTCTTTTTCCTCTCCAGCTGCTCACACTAGCCAGTCTAAGTACCCTATCAATGAAGTTATTATCTAAAAGTAGCAGTCATTCTGCCTTCTGGAACACGGGTAAGTGAACTAGTAGTGTAACTCTGAGAACTTCGAGTTCAACTGGGATTGGTGCCCAGCTACTCATGAGGAGATGTGCCTACAACCTGAGTTCCGACTGTGCCAATGAGCATCAACGTCAAGGTTAGAACATACTGTCTACCACCACCTTTAAAAAGAAGCTGAAGAAAAAAAAAAAAAAAAAAGCTTAAATACAAGTCTTGAAGGAAAAACAAATTTTCTGATCTGGGATGGGGGCTGGGAGTAAAGAACTATTCCTATCCAGAAAATGACTTTTTAAAGTAAGAAAAGGTAAAATCTTGTTGCCTGACTTAACCTCCAGGCCCAACTGAAAAGATGCTGAACTGGTCACACTATCAACCCAAAGACTAGACTGCCTATTATGCAAAGCATTATCAACTCAACAGGGCTCAACAGGGCATATCAACCCAGATGAGAAAGGCAGACCCATCAAACCTGGATACTTCCCGAGGTGACTATGTCATTTCATTAGCCATTCTAAATTACTTTTTTGGAAATTCTACAATATAGATCAGCAAGTTAAAATGCAAACAGTTTCCTATACCATTTCCACCTCACTTATTTTATTTATTTACTTACTTTCTTATTTATTTATTTATTTATGGCTGTGTTGGGTCTTCGATGCTGCGCACGGGCTCTCTCTAGTTGCGGCTAGCAGAGGCTACTCTTCGTTGCGGTGCACGGGCCTCTTGTATGGCCTCTCTTGTTACGGAGCACAGGCTCTAGGCACACGGGCTTCATTAGTTGCAGCACTCAGGCTCAGTAGTTGCGGCACGCAGGCCCTAGACTGTGCAGGCTTCAGTAGTTCTGGCGCATGGGCTCAGCAACTGTGGCTTGCGTGCTCTACAGCGCAGGCTCAGCAGTTGTGGCCCATGGGCTTAGCCGCTCCACAGCATGTGGGATCTTCCTGGACTAGGGATCAAACCTGTGTCCCCTGCACTGGCAGGCGGATTCTCAACCACTGCACCACCAGGGAAGTCCCACCCCATTTATTTTAAATCAATAAGTATCAATACAGCAACCTAAATGTCCATAAACAGATGAATGGATAAAGAAGATGTGGTACATATATACAATGGAATATTACTCAGCCATAAAAAGGAACAAAATTGGGTCATCTGCAGAGACGTGGATGGACCTAGAGACTATCATACAGAGTGAAGTAAGTCAGAAAGAGAAAAATAAATATCGTATATTAACACATATATGTGGAATCTAGAAAAATGGTACAGATGAACCTATTTGCAAGGCAGGAATAGAGACACAGATGTAGAGAACGAATGTGTGGACACGGGGTGGGGGAAGGGGGGTGGGATGAATTGGGAGATTGGGATTGACATATATGCACTACCATGTGTAAAAGAGATAGCTAGTGGGAACCTGCTGTACAGTGCAGGGAGCTCAGCTGGGTGCTCTGTCTTGACCTAGATGGGTGGGATGGGGGTGTGGGAGGGAGGCCCATAGAGGGAGGCAATATATGTATACATAATATATACATATAGCTGATTCACTTCCTTGTACAGCAGAAACTAACACAACACTGTAGAGCAACTATACCCCAATTAAAAAAAAAAACAATATAAACAATGCTATCTCCCCTACCAACGTGCGCGCGCGGGCACACACACACACAATTTCAGGAGAGCAGAGTTTAGTCACTCTAGAACCTAGATAGTTTTCCCTTCTAACACAATGAGGTTTTGATCCTTCTTATTACTACCTCACCATGCAAAAGTCCTGACTGCCAGGGCTAGAATCAGGCCACAAGTCAGGATCACATACTAGAACTAATCCTAGGAGGGGTCTTCCCTGGTGGTGCAGTGGTAAAGAGTCTGCCTGCCAATGCAGGGGACACGGGTTCAAGCTCTGGTCCAGGAAGATCCCACATGCTGCGGAGCAACTAAGCCCGTGTGCCACAACTACTGAGGCTGCACTCTACAGCCCACGAGCCACAACTACTGAGCCCACGTGCCGCAACTACTGAAGCCTGTGAACCTAGAGCCTGTGCTCCACAGCAAGAGAAGCCACCGCAATGAGAAGCCCACGCACTGCAACGAAGAGTAGCCCCCGCTCGCCACAACTAGAGAAAAGCCCACGCGCAGCAATAAAGACCCAGTGCAGCCAAAAATAAAATAAATAGGCACAGATAACACTTATTGAGTGTCCACTATATGCTGAAAAGCATTTAGGTTGACATGCTCTAGCTAGACTGGTGCACATACATTGCTACTGCTTTTAAGAAACGCATAAACTGAACAGAGCAATCCCCAAATGGACCTTTCCATTTGCGTCCTCCACAGGGCTCAGAGGAGTGCCTTGTGTACCTAACTTAAAGGCATACAAATTTCTATGTCGTGTATCAAAAGACACTGTACCTACACTCTTCCTCATTTTTAAAGGCATTCTTTACCCTTGAGGGACTTTTATAGCTTTACAATACAGCAGTTTATCAAAGATCATCACAGTGCCATAAACTATAGTTTTGGGGTTGTTCCATCATTCACTCTGCAGCCCTGACCCTACCACTTTTTATTTGACTGAACACCTCTCATGACCTCTTCTTACCCACTAAAAATAACAGGCCCAAGTACCAACTTCACAGGTATTCAAATCCCTCTCTGCTCTCGTCCAAATATGTCATAATAGAGTGGCTTCCTTGTGACTGAACTTCATCTCCTTAGGCCAAGTGAAGACCTGGGGAGGAAATGCCAACCAAGAACATACACCAGAAGAGAATATTACACAATATAAAAGATTGTGTAAAAGAAAAAACAGGCTCAGAAGGTAAGTCCAGTGTTTACATACAGTCCCAGACTGGCAGGTGAGCAGCCCCATAAAAGGAAAGCCTTCTCTTAGCCCAGGTCCCCAGGAGGCTGGCCTCAGTCCTTCCACACCTTTTCTCACTACCTGGTCTAGGTTGCATTAGTTCATCATCATTAATGAAGCAGTTCAGCTGAATTAATGAGGCAGTCACACAGAAGTGGGCGCTGCACAAAATCTGGAGAGACTCTCATATCTAAGGTCTAAAAATCAACCCTGAAAAGTAGATACAATACTCTTCAGATTTGCTTTCAGCTTCTGAGGACAGGAGTCTTTAGGATGCAAAAAGCTCCAGAAGAGAGAAACTGAAAGCTAGGTTAAGCCTAGAAACACAGGGAGGATTCCGGTACCCGCAAGGGTTGAAAGGCCAGAGTTGAAGTCGTCCCTCCGGCGGCAGGGGCCTGACCTTTGCCCCCTACACCTCTCCCAGTTCCCTCCCACAGCAATCTCTCCCTCGTCTCGTTCCTGCCCCTGCGTCCTTAACCCACCCCGGCTCATTCAGTTTAAGGGCCCTCCTCCTCTCAGTCCCTCTCGCTATGTCAGGGCGGCCTTCACGACACTGGAACTCTAAGAAGAGACTTCGCTGACCTGTCAGCGGATCCAAAATGGCGGGGCCTAGTCCCAGGACCGGCAGCCGCTGCTCATGTCCAGCCCAGGCCCCGAAGGCGTCCCCGAGCGGCTCTCCCGGCTCTGGTGGCAGATGGGAGCAGGGAAGAAGCCCGTTTCTGGGAGTTGAGGCCGAAGTCAAGGCCCGCAGAATCAGTCAGCAAGAGTCGGCCGGAACGGGCGGTGGAGCCGGCTACCTTCCCTGTCAGCTCACTGACGTGGTAACTAGCCTCAGTCTAGCCCGCTGCCTGGTCACTGCACGAGCCCTGCCGCGCACAGCCAATCATAGGTTGGCATCGTGAAAAGTGGCATTCCAGCAATCCAATCGAAGAAAGGAAATTGGCTTCGGGAGGCGGGTAGTGCCTAAAGAGGCGAGATTACAAGAGAAAGAAAAGGGTAGGCAGGGAATAACCAACGGATATGAGGACTCTCTGAGTGACAGTACTGAGAAACCAATAAAAAAGGAGAAAGTGCGCTGGGCCGTTGGAGAGGTGGAGTTAGGTAGAGTTCGGTTGCAGTGCACGGTTTGGCAGTGGCTGCTGGGCATTATGGGGAAGAAAGCTACGACTTGCTGGAAAGGGGGCGGAGTCCTTTTTGAGAGCCTGAGTGGACGACCCTACTACCCCTAAACGCAAGCCCGTCGCCGCTCCCTATTAAAGTCACCTGGGCCAATACCGTGACCCTTGAGGGATCATTTCCTTTCTAGGCAGTTCTGAGCTCCTTCCAGGATGGAGGGAGCAATCTATTCCAACCTCCCTTCCCCCACCGTCGCGTCTGCTTGCCCTGTTTGGCTTCTCATAAATGAATCTGTCCCATCCCAACTTTGTTTCTATGTCTTGTGCCCCATTCCTATCATCCTGAAATAGAGACAATGGGAGGTGACAAAAAGCTTGGATATCTAATCCAGGTCCTTTCATTTTACAGAGCAGGAAATTGAATCCCAGAATGGAAAGATGGCCCCCACCATCTGTATAGCTAGTTAATGACAGAGCAGAGAAACAAACCTAGGTGTCCTCACCCCCAGTCCAGCTCTCTTTTTCACTGCCCATCAATACCTCTTATGCTTTAGTTTATCAGACTGTGACTCCCAGCTCTGACCATCATCCTAAGCCTTGGACACTCTTTACCTACCTAGAAAAAAGATAATCACACAGGTTATTCCACATCACCACTGACAGGAAACTGCAGCCTTTCCTGAAGCCTTAGAAATGCTGAGAGGCCTGAGGGCAAGATACCCACCGCAGTCTTCACTCTCCTGCCCCCAGCTGCCTCTCCCCTGGCAAAAGATGATAGAGGTTGCTAGGATATTTAGAATTACCTATAAGTGAGAGTGTGTAGAAAGAGGACAGAAGGATGAGTTTTCTCCTTGCAGATTGAATGGTGGAATTCCCAGCCCATCTGCTGGAATAAATCCCAGTGTCCCTACAGACCTGAAGAGACTGCTAGGAGACAATGAAAAAAGATACCAACTCTCTCCCCATTTCCTCCCATTTATGGATGACTCAAGTCCAGGGAAGCTCCATTCCTAACCCCATAGGACTGTGGTCTCAAAACCAGACATCCAAAGACCATCCTCGTGCTAGAATCCTCTAATACCAAGAAACCATCAGGCCTGAAATCAGAATTGAAGAACTCCTTAACAGCTTCCTGTACCTGCATGTTGGGCTCCTGATCTCTGGGTCCAGCTGAGGATCTTGCCTCTTTCACCCAACGAGAGTCAGGGGCAGAGGATACAACCACCATAGCACATTTTTCTAGCCCATCTCTGAGCCATTTTCCACCTTCATTTGAAAACTGGGATTTGGTCTCCTGGGCTCATCTCAGATTGAGAGGTCCTGCATAACCAACTGAAAAATCTTCTAAGTGGGACAAAACTCCCTACTACCCTATCTCCACTCCTACATACCTCCAGAAATCAATCAACCTAAAAGTATGGATGGAATTGTGTGTTAGAGATAAGGAGGAGAGAGATGACAATGTCCCAGCCCCTTCTAACCTCCATCATCTTACCAGACAAAACATCTCCCTCTCAGATTTTAGTACTGAGTGTCTACATCATGCCTAGGAATAGAAAGATGAGGAAGATATGGTCCTTGCCCTCCTAAATCTTAGCATCATAGGGGACAACACATAAGCTGATCTCTTCCATATCATGGGTGGGGAAATAGAGATACACACAGCAGGGCTGGGGGAGCAAGAGACTACACATCTGGCTAACGTGGGAATTCAGGAAAGGCTTCCCAGAGAGAATGAGGCCTGAGTGGAGCTTAGGGGGATGAGTAGGAGTTGACAAAATGAAGACTGGTTAGAAATATGTTACTGTCAGAGGTGTGCAGAAAACCACTAGGAGACTGGAGATTAAGACAGGGTCAGGTCCCGAAAGTCTGCTGTGCCACGCAAGGGAGCTTAGCCTTTATCCTGAGGGCAAACAGGAGCCACTGAAGGGTTTTAAGCAAAGACATGACTGGTCAGATTCACCTTAGGAGTATATTATATAATAGGGCTTAGGGCCCTCAGGGACACCCTAGAAACCCAGCCTGACTCCACATGTTGCTTGGGACATCTGTCCTATCCCTTGCAACTCCCTAACCTGCAAGCACCAAGGCCACACCTTGCCCACAGAACTGAATTTGGTATCACCAAGGAGCAGGTAGCCCTGGTAAGGCTGGGAGAACATAGCTTGTGTGAGACAAGAGTGCAGACTGACAGGGAACTTGCCCAGGCCTCTGAGGAGTGCCCAGCCCAAGCCCTGAGAACCAGCTAGAACCTCTTTTAATTTTGCGGGGGGAGGGGGAGTAAGGGAGTCATAGTTAAGTTACTTGTCCAAGGTCACTCAGTGATGTTGCAGCTGGTGGCAGGGTTAGAATACTGTTTTAGTTTGTCACACTCCAAACTCTGCTTTCTCCACGAAGCCACCTTCCTTGGAGGAGAGGAAAAAAGGGCTGGGGTGGGGGTGGGGATGGGGGGTGGGGGCGCAGCCGAGAAGAGGAAGAGAGAAAAATGCAAGGAAAAAAGGAAAAAGAGGATCAGAAAGAGAAATTAGTCTTTCGAAGTGGCAGGGGAGGGAGGAGTGAGACAAACAGCAGGGGCAGAGTGGTGGCGGAGAAAATAAAAGAGGAAAGAAAGGCGAGACGTGGGAGGATTGGAGCAGAGACAAAAGGGCAGAGAGACAGACAGCGACAAGTGGAGAAAAACGCCGAAACTTGAGCGGCAACGAAGTCTGAGCGCTGAAACCCCACGGCCTCTCCCGGCCCGTGCGCCCTCCCACCTGGTCCTATCCCCCAGCACCGTTCCAGTTCGCTCGGTGTGGCGGCCTGGTCCCACCTCGCCGCCGACCGGCCCCGGTTCCGCGGGGATACCCGGTCCACTCTACGCTCGCCCGCTCGGTTCCGCCAAAATGTTCTTCAGCAGCGCCGTTTCAGCCACGTGGGAGGGGCGTGGTCCAGTTGCTGAGGAGCGCCTCCGATTGGCTAGGGGGCGGGGTTCCTGGCGGCGCGCCGGCCGGACCACCCCCCTGAAGGCGGGGCCAGAAAATTCACAGCTGGAAAGGGTGGAGCCCCGGTAGCGCAGCTGGAAGGGGGCGGGGCCCGACGCGCGAGGCTCGCAGCGGCGGGCTGGGGGCGCCCTGGACTGCCATAAAGTGAATGGGCGCCAGCGGGGGGTGGCAGTCCGCGGCGAGGCTTACTCTCTCCCAGCGAGTCCGGGAGCGCCGGAGCGGAGCGGCGGCCCGGGCGCAGGGGGGCGGCCCCCACCCCGGCCGGGTGCCCGGCCTCTGGCCCCTGCTTGCCCTCCAGACTGCGGCCGCCGCCGCCGCTGCCGGGAGTCTGCCTGCTGCGGGACTCACTGTGAGTGCTTGACCATGCGGGGGACAGGGGCTCACGGGGCCGAGGGGCCATGGCCGGACTTCGGGATCCCTAAAACGGGACCTAGGGCTGCTGAACTGGAGAACGGTGCCTGGGGAACGGGTCGAGACAGGGAGGGGGGACTGCAGACCTGGGGCCAGGACTTAGAAAAAGGGAAACTTAGCGCCAGGACTCGGGGGACAGAGAAGGGGAAGACTCGAGGGATCCGAAGAGAAGTCGGAGACATGAGGTCAGGACAGGGGCTCCGCGAAGCAGGGAGTAGAGTCGGGAAACCATTACCAGAAAGCGCCCCGGAATCCGGGGGCGCGGGGCCGACAGCCAAGGAGCCAAAGGGGTTGGCGAGGCCCTGGCCAGTGGGGCCAGCTGGCGGCGGGCGCCCAGCAAGGCGGCAGTTGGCAGTGCCCAACACCCCTCGGCTGGGTCTCAGACTCCAGGGACCGGGAGCAGGGGTGCGTTAGTCGCACAAGCTTCTCTCTTCCCAGCTGCTTTGCAATTGGGATAGGAACCGTGTTGTGAGAACCCGACAGCGACCGGGTCAGATGGCCGCTGTGTGGGCTGCAAGGCCGAGGTTGGGTAGTCCGAGTGACCAGGCGGTGGGTCTGGTGTGTCTGCTTGGGGTGTCAGGGCCCCGATGGGTCCCGACCTGGGGCAGCCACGGAATTGGACGGAATGTCCGCGGCGCGCGGGGCTCAGGGCTTACAGAATGTCCGGCGCAGCGAGGTTGGTCTCTCCGGAGCAGGCGCTGTGTCGGGCAGTGGTGGACAGAATGTCCCTGGCCGAGTGGCATGTCCATTTACCCCGCAGCGCCTGCCCAGCTGCTGCGTGTACGGTGGTGTTTGCTGTGGTGGGTTGCCTAGAATCGCAGCTCACACTTTTCAAACTTGTCTCTGCTCCTAGGGGCTGCGGGACATGGAGCAGGGAGTGAGAGTAAAGGCTGAAGCCTGGCCTCGGGCTGGAGTGGCCCGGGAGACATTCCCTCTCTAACCCAGACTAGATGCGATCTGAGCATCACCCCGGACTTCCAGAATCCAAATTTGTGGAGAGAGAGCCAATGGTGGGACTGCTAGTGGGAACCAAGACCAGGAAAGGAAGGAATGAACCACAAAGGGCAATGAGAGGGCAAAGAAGAGCCTAGCACAAGCCCCTGACAGCTTCAGTTCCCTCACAAACTCAGAGTCAACCCCTAATTCCAATACAGCTGACCAGGTACCCCCCAGACTCTGCCTGGGTGTCAGCAGGCTAAAGTCTCCTTTCCCACAGTGGGCAGGAGCCCAGGCCCAAAGAGAAAACTGCAGCCCTTTAGCAAAGCAAACCCTGTGGTCTTGTTTCCCTTTTTGCTTCCTCAGTCCCACCAATCCCCACACCA